GTGGGGCTAGGTCCTATTGTCTTTACCAATCACCTTGCCATGAAAAGGATGACTTGGCAATCAGTGTATCCCAGCAACAAAATGGGAAAGAAAAATTCCCCAAGACAGGAAACAAAAGGAGAAACCTTAACCCACAACAGTGGATGCTGAAACTGAAGTGCCTAAAGAGAAGAMCTTTCATTAAAAAATGGAACCTGACTATGCTGTTGTGAAAGAAGATGGAAACATGCTCAGAGATCATGTTTCTGTTCATTAATTGTCATTTTAATAACSAAAGTCACACCAAGCCATCAAATACACTCTCACTTTGGCCAATGCTAGCTGAAGACCAATATTCCAAAGYTTATGTTAGCAAGAAAAATTATTTGGTTTCTCAAAGCATCATTAGCCTCTTTGAAATTATCATTCAGTGCTAACAAYTGGGAATAAAAGTAACAGTGACTGTTCATAGTAACTATCCTAGAAAGAATATTTRAGCACGTTTCTCTTAATTAGATGATAGTCACAACAGACTGCAGGTGACAACACTCCCCTGGACACACAAAAAKTCTGGCAATGTGTGTTGAACAGTCACAGAAATCATTTTGTCTTTCCTGAAAGAGATATAGCTAAAGGACATAGAGATAAACTTCCCAACAGCACCTGTGTCAGGTCTGGATAAAGGAAAAACTCTATCTCCAAGGCTGTAAAATCTGCATCCTTCTCAAATGGCTAGTGAATAATCTGAAAATCAAAATGTTAATTCTTGAAAGATTCCCAACTTGTATTGCTCATCCATGTTTACCCATCCTGTCTATTCATCTTTTGAAAGACTATATAATGCTTTTCAGCCTCTCCAGTCTGCCTCCCAGCTGCCCCCAGGCCTTCATCTGGGCTATGTTTGTGTGGAGAAGGGAAAAAACAAAACSTCATATTAAGATTTCCTGATGGGAAAAGCTGTTTAAATTAGAAAACACAGAATTCATCCTAAACCTGTAGCTTAAGTAATAAGTTGATTYGATTTCAAGTTATTATCCCCACCATCATATTAACCTGAGTGTTTTCCTTCCACCCCCAAAATAATTACCACCACTAAACATTCTGATTATACCACTCTGTGGTTCCTTATGCACATGGCAAAAATCAAGCAGAGTCTGGGTTTTTACACATTCTTATTCATCTTCTATCTCTCTAAAATGTAAGCTGCTATTTCTCACATTAGAAAATTGCTACACCAAACATCCAGTTTAAAATCCAACTGGAGAATAAGGCAGCCAGGAAGCCATGCCTTGCATTTTGATTCTCGGCCTGCATAAGAGTTTTCAAACTATTATGAAAAATTCACACTCAAATTTCAGATTCTTTCATTTTGGGTAGAGGGGTGACTTCCACTGTTATTAACAGAAGCACTTCTACCACAAGCCTCGGGGTCATTCTGCAGTTGGATTTAAGAAAGGTGAACCAATTAAATCTTAGTCCACAGCCCATTACATTATGAAAAGAGATTGTTTTATGCAGCATCTGAGACACACAAACCTTCACATGTGATAACCTCATGACATCTCCCAAAAATTACCAGCTGCAAAAATGTGAATGCACCTCAACACTTTGGAACAACTAAGACTTCAACTCCAGTCCTTAATCCCCAACTGCAGCATTTTTATGACATTAATAGTTCACCGTTACAMAGGAGTGCAAAAATGGATTAGAATAACAGGAATCTTACTATTTCTGATTATGTCTGCCCAGAAAATGAACACTGCTGGAATCCTTTGGCACATAGCCATTCAAATCTTTCTATGACTTCTCTGATAATAAAAGATTTCTTACKAGCCTTCAATAATCCATTGAACTTCCTGAGAGATTTTAATCACAGATACTTATCATTCAGTTCATCACTTTGTATGTGCCTTCAGTTAAAATTTCAATGCATCTCAATTGAATCTTCTACTGTAAAAACAATTTTGCATCCAAGGAATAACTTACTTTCTTGTATCGCATTAAGAATTTCTGAAAAGTCCACATCTGTCTTCTGTATGTCTGGTTTTATCCATATTTGCGTTTCCAGCTGGTTAACCTGCAAATCCTCTCTTCCTTCTGAAGAAATTGAAAAGATTGGAGGGGTTTGTGACAGTGCAGTAGAAAATCCAGCCAAGGGGCTTCAGGTGAGGAAACATACACATTGAATGAAGTATTTCCATTTTCCCTCCTTAGCAGAACCAAGTTTTCTTAAAACCAAGGAGCTTCAGAGAGAGCATGSACTGGTTTCAAGCTAAATAGAATGAAACAACAACATTCTCTGCTGTCAGTTATGATGCAGATTCACCACTGGGAGGCCCCTCTTTTAGATGACCATATTACTGCCATGCCATGAGCATCAACTCGCCATACCATCTACAAAACTAACTCCCAAATGTGAAAGCAAACAGGAGATGTTGTTACAGATGACAGAGGAACAAACGGACTAAAATAAAACACACTAACACACAAAGGAAGTTGCAAGACAGAACACAACGATTAGGACAAAAACAGCATGGACAGTGTGTTTCAGACACGTGAGCACTGTAAATTCTCATGTGCCAAGCTGATGGTGTGACACAGTCTAGGAAGAAGTCCAGCACTGCAGTCCATTTCAAAAAGATTCACATTGGTGTGTAATGGTTCTGTTTAAAAACACTTCGGAATAAAAACTTGTTCTGGTGGGTGACAGTTTCAAATCTATTTACACACAAAAACAGGCACAAGATTTGCCCATTTCAGTGCTCCTTCAACACGAACAAAGAAAGCAGAAAGTCTTGAGAAGAGAAACTTTTCATGCAGAGAAAGGTGGCTGCATGTCAAGAGTAGACAGAAAACTGGCAAACAGGCTTAAGATGCTGGCTACAGGGTATTTGGATACAGTCAGAGAGAAAGAAGGAACTACTGGGAATACATCTGGTTTCGAAGATTAGCAGGAAAACCTTTCACAATGGCATCTGCTAGAAATGACGCTCATGAGTAACTAATGCATAGAGTTAGCAGAGACCTTCAGTAGTGGAGAAGATATTTGGCAAAGGACTTAATGAAAAAAAGGCCAAGGTGGAAGAACAAACCTTCAGGAAATTTATATCATTACTGTGCTTTGCTAGATGCTATCACTCCTGCTTTAGATGGAAGCATTTTCCTTCCATCTATAGTCTGCCTTTAGCAAGCTGTTCTTATTTTGAATTCTGTCCTAGCTCACTTCTCCTTCGYGAATGACATGTCACTACTGCCTTGATGGGAGTTATAAACAATATTCCTGGCCACAAAATTACTCAAAACTATTTTAAAGGTCCTTCTTCACTGCTTGTAAATACAGATCTCAAAAAGACTGCACTTTGACCAGCTACATACTTTTTTATTTTTCAGTGTTAAAATATTATGAATTTATTTTTCAGTGTTAAAATATTATCAATTCAAATTGTCTCATGCTTGCTTCAGCATATTCTTTTGTTCCACAGCAAAGATTCACTGTTAACATTAGAGACAATTCCCCTTGTAGATTCCTGCAAAGTGATCTGTCATGGCAGCAGCAGGAGTCAGCATTTAATGATGTAGAACAAAGAGAATTTCTTAAGTGAGACAACTGATTATTCATACAATAGCAGCCAAGGGAAATCTGCAGATGGCCTCAGAGATGAGAGGCTAAGATATGCCCCAAAAGAGATTTCTAAGGCCCAAGAAAAAATACTCCACCTGCTGAAAAATACATACAAACAATATGGTGGAGCTAGAAAAGTAATCAATGGACACCCGTTCAGCAGYTTTGCAAGCGATATCACTCGTTTCTTCTTAAATACTCAGCTACCAATTTTTGCATATATCACTACATACTTGCATCCTCACATCCAACAGACTTTGTTCTGCATTTCAACCCTAGTTAGAGCAAATTAATGACAATACTGAAAAATAAAACATGCCCTTTCTTCCTCCAAACACTCCATCCTTGCTACACTCAAACTGCTATTCCTCAAAACAGATGAAGGTAGCAGGATCCCTGCAGCATCTCCAGAAGATCTGAACTAATTTGGGCCAGGCAGAAAGGAAGTGGCAGTCAGCTCTGGAGGTCCCAAAATACTGATATCTGATGGACTATCTAACCACAGACCTGTCAATTAAATTAAACTCTTGAAGAACCTACACAGCCGATTTAAAAGCCACTCTTTAATTAACAAAAAACGCTGCCTAGGAAGTGGTCAGAAAATGACCAGCCTAAACCTCACTGTTACTTCAGACAGTGAGGTCAGGACAATTTTGCTGTATTCAAATTTCCTCTCCTGTATTTGATCCTCTTGCAGTACAGGGAGTTTTAGCAACCCACAGAAATGACAGTGCTCTGTGCTCGTCTGATTCACAGCAGCCTTRATATCTGGCCTCACTGCACAAGTATCAGATTAACAGCATCCAATCTGATTTCAGTCAAAATTGTAGGCATAATCTTCCACCAATCATTTGTGATATACAAATAGMTAATACATAGCTAATCACAAACTCACCTKCACCAACATGAGGAAAAAAAGTATCTACCAACAACACAGCTTTTACATAAGGGATTGCAGAAATGCTTTCTTCTCCCATGATCTTAAGGGTGTCAGTRAAGAATTAGGGCATTTGGGCTTCTATCCTCCTCTGTCTCTGTCAGCATCCACTTTTCAGGAAGGACTACAGCATAATTTTAGCTGAGATAAACACCCCCTATGTGATGGGCTGTGGACTGGCCAAATTAATAATTTCTGGCTTGTTGTCAGACAGAGGTTTTAAACTAGAGGCTCGTTGGAAAAAGCCACAGTGACCTCATCCATGTTCCAGAGATTTATTTTTTTTATCTTACCACATATCTCCAATACCTGATGTCATTGTTGCTGTTGACTGATCACTAACCTGCCTTTAGCATTTCCTTCTTGCTCGAGAGGCTGCTGATTTATGCTTTATCAATGACATGTCCCAACAAGTAAAATCTAAGCAATATTGCCTGAGAAGATGAGAAAGACTCACTTTCCACAGAAGTATAAGAAATAAACACAAATAAAAGTGAAATAAACATYAGATTTTTTAAAAAAATTATGTTAYTTATTTAAAAGATCAGTCTGAGTTTTTTCTCATATTACTGAGACTTTCTAGTTAAACTGAAGTAATATTTTAAATTACCTCATGGCACTTGCTCTTATTTACTCACTGATGCATAAAGTTGTGCATAAAATAAATTTTCACTTTTTTTTTTTGTCCTGAAGGGTCCTAACTAATTATGTTAGGAAAACAAATKAGATTTTAAAAACTACTTTAATTTTTAGAGGCTAAAGGAGTTTGSTTATTCTAAGTCAGAATTTTAACACACTTCTAAATACTAAAATGATCAAATGTATTAGAGAAGTGATTTATGTACCAATGTAGTTCATATGGTACTAATGTTAAAGAAGATCATTCTAACTTGCAGTGAAAGAGAGATTTTGCCATGTGTATGGATGCTCCTATCACAGGGCCATCTACCTCTAACAGTGCAATATTTAGTAAAAACAAATACAGTTCAAACATGAGCAGAGTGTTTTGCTACACTAAGTACTGCATGTAATACCTGCAGAGAAGTTGCTCTTTCTTACCAAACCCTCTTCTTTAAAGCAAACAGAAAACTGCAGTACATGGTGCCCTTTTCACTCTAGGCAAACCCAASTGAACAGGGGATAAAGAATCATCCCTTCAGGTACATTTTCTACTGGCTTCTCACTTTGAGTTCTCAGCAGGTCGTCTGCATCTAAAGCAGAGTTTCAAATGGAAATTAAGCATTACCTGTACATGTTAGTCAGGGCTATGCATGTGAGTGTGTACAGCACAGCTTTACTGCTCTCAGTTCTGGCCCTACTCATTTCTGTGACAGGAGAGAAACAAAATGYGCAACACAGTTGGTCTTCCCCGGATCTGTCCCATGACTGCACTGGACAGCACATTGCAACAGATGAAAAACATTTTGACTCAATTATTGCTTCAGAAAAAAAACCCAAGCTGTTCTATGAGTCACATAATGTATGCAAATATATATTAATATACACATGTCTTCCTAGCAAGATAAAGTTGGCCTGAAAGCAGTGGCTCAGAGATAGATAATTATTTCATTAAGAGACAGGCTGATGTGTATCATAACAAGTCTTTCAGAGAGAGCTGCTTTTGCTACATTGCTCAGAGAGAATCTCTGAGTGTTTTCAGTATTGTTATATTCATTCTGCCTGAGCATTTTTCTCTCCTGCAGTGTAAGGTGAATGTCAGRGTGTTAATGTACACATCAATTGTACTTCAGTGATTATATTAGTTATATTTTAACTTATCAAAAGCATTTGATGTTTTATTGCTGCCCTTAAATTTCTTACATACAATAGTGCAGAGTTTCACAATGCAAAAATATCATTGCTAATAATGTTCTTAGTGCAGGATGCAGAAAAGTGCCTTGAGCTGCCCCTTCTCTGCACAGAAGAAAAAGGCTTTGTTTTCAACCTGTAACTTTGGCTGACCAGCCCAGTGCTAGACTCCTTTCTGGAAAAGACGGTTACCCAGAAACTTTCCTTCCTTGATCCTTGCCAGCAGCACTAAGCTTCTTCTATCTTACAGCTTCAACACAATTTCAAATTTCTACAGARGAAGAGGGGTGTGTGCGGTGAGTTCTCTTTTCCCTTCTTTTTGATGCTTGTTTCCAGTCCTGTGTTCCTTTTAAAGATGGCAGTGGTGCTAAGGACAGGAAAATGTATGTGTTTAATTCTCTGTTTCTGAGAACTTTCTGACATTTTTGTATACTTAAGGCAGTGTAACCTCAGAGTAAGACCAGCTGTCTGCTACATCAATCATGTACGTGCAGTGACAAACTGGGAATGYCTTAAAGGCCTTAGCTTTTCCTAATGTGAGGTACTTACTTTTATCAGTGTAGGTCACAGGATTTTCCTCATCTAGATTCAAACAGTTTTGGAAAAATTATAAGGAATTATTAACGATGTACATTGAAAAGCCATTAGAGACTTTTGATTTAAGACAAAGTACTCCATAATAATAGCATTAATACACAATGTTTTTCCAAGACTGAAAATATGGGGTGCACTGTGGAAGTATTTGCAGACCTTTGAGAAACTTCTGATCTGGTAGATTGCCATAGATGTCTATAAATACATAAGGACTTTCATGTATTTTGAAGTTCTTAATTGGTTTACCATCTACCTTTAAAAAAAAAAAGTGTATAGTCTGTCACTATTTGGTATAGCTAAACACTTCCACTTCCATAGATCTTCCACYATGCAGAAAACACCATTTCTCTTACAGGTTTTCCCACTGGTTATGGATAAAATACTGTATCTGCCTGTTAGCAGACAAGCTGAGTGYAAAAGCAAAAAAGTATCTTTTTAGTTTTGAAAGTTATTGGAGTAAAAATATAGGGCTACTTCATTTTCCATAAGGAAGTCCAAGGAATGTTAAGCAAAAAAAATTCAAACCCCAAATGATTATGTTTAACATGAAGCACCTATGGCATAGCTGTCTGTGCATGCATGGCCACATGCGTGGTCATATCAAAGGTACAGTAATAACAACACTGGAATTATTTTGGAAAGGAAATGTAGAATAGATTCCCTTTGCMTTGCAATACACTGTAAGACACCACATGTGTTGAATTATGTCAGTACAAACCCTTTTCTTATCTTCCAGAAGCAGCAGTTGTGAAGGGGAGATTTCTGAGCACCTAAAATTACTGATTTATCACAGACTGAGGTATTTTGATGGCATATGGCACTCACTCTCCCTCCATTAAACCCTGGCTGGCATCAAACACCAAGTTTGTGCCAGTTAACTGTAGAGAAGCGGGGAGTTCTATGTTCAGCACTTGTTCTTTCTCTCTCATGCTGTGAAAGCCTTTTCCACAAAACAGGATGGATTTTTTCACATGGAAAAAAATTGATTGATAGCCCTTGCTGCAAAGTAATACCTTAAAAATCCCCTCTACGGTCACAATAGCCTGAACACCAGACTGCAGGGACAGGGTCCTGCTTGCCCTCAATTCTCATATTTCTGATTCTGTCACAGAATCAGCTGTGGACATGAGTACAGTCAAACCCAGTCAAGGTGGGGGGACACTGCTTAAGAGCAAGTTCAAACAGGACAGCAGCTTCAGAGAGCTGATAATCCACATTTCCCATAGGGGCAAGAGCCCAAACTACTGTACTGCTGTGCAAAACCTCACAGCCTCTTTCTTCATTTCCCATCTTTGCTCAGAGGATGCCTCAGTGTTCTGATTATTGAAAGWACTCGAATGCTCACACAGAAGCCCCAAGCATAGGATGTCACACATTCCTATGCCCGACATTTCCGACTGCTTGGCTCTATTTGGCCCCAGTGGAGATTCTTCACCAATCAGTATATGGAGAGTGTTGCACAAAGAGCCTTTGGAATTAACTCCAAGAAGGACTTCACWGGTTATACAAAGAGAAAGGGCACCAAAGTGTGTCTCCTACTGGGAACAAAGCTATCCTGTTCAAGTGTCACATTGCCTGGGATGGGAATTCACCAGATATAGTCTGAAAATGGCACAAAGCCACCACGTGTAACTCAGCATTGCTCCACAGTTGTATATTGCAAAGAAGGATCTAGAAAGAAGTCTAAGATCCAAACACATTGAACAATTCAGTCCATTTTCTACTGTCCTTATTTGTATAAAAATAACAGTAAGAATGATTGTCTTTTAGTTCCTTCTCTTTCTTCTTACACTGTGAATACATATATAAAAACACAACTATCAAATATCAATGTCTCATGTGTTCAAACATTTGATCATGTTTGAAAAATCTAACTACTTGTGAATGATACATCCCCTAGTTACCACCTACCTTTATCAGGAGTCATTAGCAGGCAATTCATGAAGGGGAAGAGAGGAAAACCTTTGCTGAGTAAAAAGTGTATCACAAAACACTCACCCAGTTCTCAAGTCAGTATGTCATTGATGACACGACCAGAAAATCTATCTGCACAGGGAATGACCAAACAGAAAACTTCAGAGCACTGAAGATTTACTTTGTTATAACATGGGGCATCAAGACAGCTTCTAAAATATACCAGATGTCTCTTTCAGGTACATTTTAATGTAACAACCAGTTATACCTACTCACGTTGTACACAGCACTCTCTTCACACTCTAAACATAACTTGTTAATTAATTCTAGAAGAAAGTACCAGCAGCTAAACCATTTGGGAATTTCAGCTGTCCTAAGACTGATGAGGAATGAACATAACACAGGATTGTGAAAATGGTTATCCTGGAGACAGGATAGCAGAACAGAAGTCTATCCAGCGCAGGATCCTATTTCTGACACCAGATGCTTAGCTAAAGGGAGTAAGAACTGGGCAAGCACATCCAGTCCATCCCCAGGCTGTCCCTTCCAGCTTGGAAAGATTTTTATTTCTGCAGTGGAAGGTTTTATTTGGATGATAAAAATTCCCAGCTACCAACATCCCTTTTCCACAAAACTTTTCCCTCTATATTCTCTGTTATTTTTGAGCTAGCAGGTAGACATCAAATTCCTCTGACCCCTTTTTACTTACCTTGTTCCCAGTTTTCCTGAGCTAGAGGGCCTGCTCCTCAGTTACAGTATCATCAGAAGCCCTTTCCCAGGCTAGGMCCATGAAGCACAGAAATCCAAGAGCCACCATGCAGACCCCATGAATTATGCTTCCCTGTACAGAAACTAAATATGGATCAATGAATCCCACCCTAGTCTATCACAGGGAGAGGATATGGTTCCAACCTACCAGCCCAGGTGTGTGAAGCCCTAATGAAAGAGAGGTTATGATAATATAATCATGTAGTCACAAACTCAAGAATGGGGCCTATATTG